CGATCGCCTCGCCACGCAAGGCCTGGCGAAATGCGACCCGCGCCCGGCCGATGAGGATCTCGCCATCATCAGCGCAAACGCCCCGCAGATGGCCCGGCCGAAGTGCACGCCCCAGTCTCTCCCATCGCGTCCGAGGCTGGAGGCGCTGAGGATCGGAAGTGAGAACATTTTTGGACGCCGCGGCCGCAGTTATCAAGCACCCTGGCTCTGCTCCTGCAGCAGGACGGCCGCCTCGGGCGGGGCCCCCGATCGGCCGCCATGCGTCGCGCGGGCCCTGGCCGCGCCCGCAGAAGCGCCCAGGATCTTCGACCCGATCACATGCGGTAGAGGCCCTGCCCCGCGGAATGCAACGACATGCCCCCGCGCAAGATGTCGATCCTTGCTTGCGCCTCCACGCTGCATTCGGGCGGGCCGCGCCGAGTCCGGCACTCTGTCGAGATACCCTCGATCTGCAGGTGGGCCCCGGAGCGGGCGGCACCTGCCACGGCAGGGGAGATTCGCGGAAAAGCAGTCGGCGCCACCCGCGCGAGCAGTTCGCGGCGTCGCGACTGCGCCGAGGAATCGAGACGAACGGGGCCACGGGGTCTAGTCGCCCAGTTCTCCTGCGCTCGAGGCCTCTCGCAAGCCTGCGCCAAGTCCGCCGACGCCATCCACTAGTCGAGCACGCTGCAGCGGCCCTTGGCACTCCTGCGCGTCCCATCACAACGTTGGGGAATGAGTAGATCGCACGGCATCCACGACGCCAATGGCGTCGACGTCCGCTGCGCTCGCGTTCCAGTCGCCACCGAAAATCAAAGGCGCCGCGAAGTGACACAAACAGGTGGCCATCCTCGTGAACCGACCGTAGTTGACGCACAGGTAATCCGCCAAGCCGACCGACTTCATGCACAGAGCCCCGCGTGCTCATGCACGGCCATCGACCACGCTGGGGGGATATCGAAACTCTTCATCACATTCGCAGCCCGTGAGCATGGTGACGGAACTGTGAGCCTCCACCAAGACCGCGACCCCAGACGGCGGCAAATTGGATTGCAACCTCTTACATGCGGATACGAACGGCTGCCACCCATGTCGCAAAGCCAACTTCTGTGCTCGATCGAGCGCCTCGCCGTCCAGCTTCAACTCTCGTGAATACAAAATCTGAGCATCCCCTACACCTTCGAGCAAAACTTGCTGCAGCGTGCTCCAGCATGACCCATCGAAAGTAACCAAGCCACAGTTGTGCCTGCGTGCGCTCCTGGGAGCGCGTCGTCGACTAGAAATGCTCCCATGCCGCGGGGGGGGGGGGTATGTTTCCATGGCGGCTGGGGGTCCACTGGTGGCCGCGCCCGTGACTGATGCGACTGCGTCTCCGTTTGCCGCGTCTCCGCTTGCTGCAGGAGCCCATGACTGCTGTGGAACTGCCGGGGCGAATGCTGGCAGTGAGGGGCGAATATCGTCGCCTTCGACGAGGACTTTAGCGCCTGCCGTTGCCTCCCCCAGGATGGGGCCCAGCTTCTGGATGCTGGGCTGTCCGCCGGCGAAGCCACGCGACTGGCCACAATGCACAGACTGCTGCGCTGCGGGGGCGTTATTTTGGAACCCTCTGCACCGCGGCGGCCACGGACTGAATGTTGTCGACTTGGGGAGCTGCCTGGCCATGGCGGCCTCTGCACGGGCCACATCCCATTCGAGCATCGCGATCTCCTTGGCGACGCCTTCCTGTTTGGACTTGACCTCCACCAGCTGCTGTTCGACGCCACCGATATGCTGGACCAGTTTCTCGTGCGCTGCGCTCTTGGCGCCAGCGCAACACGCGCTCTGGGGCCATGGACTCACGTGTTATTGTATCTCGGCTCGTCCTAGTTCCTCCACGGCCATGCGTAAGGGCTCGCGCCCGTCGTCGTAGCGAAGCCGCCGCACAGACTGCACCGCCCCCCATGCATCGCACAACTTCCGAAGGTGGGGCGGTTGCTGGCTCTTTGTTTGCTGCGCCATCCCGCTCGGGACGATTGCCACGATCACGAGTGCCGCGCGATGGGGTCCTGCTGCTCGGGCGTCTGCCGTCCTTGCTGCGGCCGCACTTCAAGCAGGTCGTCCTCGTTGCAAAGCTGCTCCTGGAACTGCAAGCCTTGGTGGCCGAGCAAGCCCATGACGCCGCTGGTGGCCCCTGCTGGCGTCACGGAGCGTCGCCTCGCCACCGCCTGCATCACCAACGCCTACGGTGCTCTTGCTCGCCATGCGCTCGCCGTGGTGCCTCCGCAGCAACCGCCGCGTCGCGTCGAGCCTGAGCTGGCGACGCCCTGCGGCCTTCGCGCGGCGAGGCCGCCGATGTCAGGCACGGGAGCGGTTCCTGGGCCGCTATCCAGGAATGGCGTCGTGTGCACCAGCGCCGGATCTCGGGCAGCTGGCTGGGGCCAGATGGATGCGCCCGCCCCTCGCCCCACTGGGGGGCACAGAGCCCAAATGGTGGGGACGTCCATATTAGGAAGAAAGTGCCATCATAGAACGGAGGACCAAAAAAAAAAAAAAAAAAAAAAAAGGAGGAGGCAGCTCAGCGTTGGATTATTCAGGAATCTCTTCTTAAGCGGCCGCCGCGGCCGCGGCGCTTTCGTTTGAAGCGAACGGGAAAGCACGCAACAGAAATCACGTATCTATTCAAAACCGCTGGGAAAAAGCACTGCGGCAAGCGATGCCGCATCGAGATTTCCGTCGAAATCTTGCGGCCCAAGAAAAACGAAGGCGTAGAAATCATGCCCGCAGAGGGCGCGTCGCTTTTCCCCCTCGTAAGATCTGGGTTGTTCCTTCCGTTTTCCACTCCTCTTTTCTTGCCCGCCTCCTACCCGCGGCGGCGGCGGCAGCGACGGCGGCGGCGACGACTCGACGGCCGACTCGACGAAACCGCCGCCTCGACGACAACGACGCCGCTGCCTAACGACTCGCTAACGACGAACGACGGCGAAACCTGAGGACGACGCACCCCGCTGGACACTCACGAGCCCGAACCGAACGATGACGACCGCACAACGCGAGGCCGCCTTGAGGCCGATGAAACACGCCTCCGACGACGGATACGACGACTCCGAGGCCGATGACCTCGACGAAGCTTCCGACGGCGACGACAACGACGAACCCGTCGGCCATTCTAGATTCCAGACCGCGAGTTGTAGGGGGGGTCCTTGTCTGGCGGGCCTGAACTGCAGTCCGACGAACGAAGCCGACGACGACGATGACGAGGCCACCGAGGCAAACGACGACGAACTGACCGCCACCACCATTGGACGACTCGGGAGGGAGAGAGGGAGGGAGGGAGGGAGGGAGGGAGGGAGGATGAGGATGAGGACAAAGAGGAGGAGGAGAGGAGGAGGAGGGAGAGGTGGGAGGAGGAGGAGGAAGAGGAGGAAGGAGGACGAACGACGCCGACGCAGCCGCACGACGACGACGACCACCGCACGCTCAGTGGCTCGGCCCTCCGAGCCCGCGGTCTGGTCCCGAGTCTCGCGCCTCCGCGCGCCCGGGCCTGCGACGAGGAGCTGCGGGGGGGCGCCAGCTGGGGGGCTCACAGGTGCGGGGAGGCTTCTCCTCCCCCCCCCCCTCCTTCTCCTCAGGAGGAGGAGGAGGGAGGAGAAGGGGAAGGAGGGAGAGGAAGAGGAGGGACAGGAGGAAGTGAAACAGGAGGGGGGAGGAAAGGAGGAGGATGAGAGAGAAGGAGGGAGCTGAGGCAGGCACAACAACAACACACCATCAGCAACAGCAGGAGCAGGAGCAGCGGATGCAGGAGGAGCAGGGCGAGGAGGGGGAGGAGAATGGCGAACGAGGAAGAGGAGGACGGTGATAAAAAAGAGGATTGGGGAAATTCGGCTGGAGAAGAAGGAGGAGGAAGGAGGAGGAGGGAGAGGAGAGGAGGAGGAGCTTCGGAGCTTCGGATTTGCAGCTGGCCCGAAAACCGCTGAACAGGCTGAGGAGAGGAGGAGGAGGAGGAGGAGGAGGAGGAGGAGGAGGAACAGGCGGCCTTCAAAGACGCCGCCAAGTCCCCACGTCACCCAGTGCTGTTCTATTCCTCTTCCTCCTCCCATCTCCTCCAATTCACCTGCGAGCGGCGCCCGAATGCGCGGGCGACCTCAACCCCTCAACCCTTCTTCTCCAGAAGGTGCCCTGCCGCAAGGGCCATCTTCGACTCGTTGTCGATCTTGGATGGCTCCCATTCCTCTCGGGGCAAGGGGGACTGCTGCTGCTGCTGCTGTTGCTGCTCCTTCTCCTCCTCCTCCTCCTCCTCCTCCTCCTCCTCCTCCCCCCCCTCCTCCACCTCCGCATCTTCAGACTCCTCCATCCTCCTCCTCCTCTCCTCCTCCTCCTCCTGCTCCCTCCTCGTCCTCCTCCTCCTCGTCCTCCTCCTCCTCCTCCTCCTCCTCCTCGGGACTCCTCCTCCTCCTCCTCCTCTCACCACCTCCTCCTCCTCCTGCTCCTCCTCTCCTCCTCTTCTCCCCACCAACCGCGAGTCCTCAGTCTCGTCGGCAGGACCGAGGATCTTCTTCTTCATCTCCCTGGCGGCCTTCTTGTCGGCCAGCGCCTGAGGCCGCCAGGAGGGGGGGCCCGCCTCCCGTCCTCCTCCTCCTCCCCCTCCTTCGCCTCCTCCTCTCCTCCTCCTCTCCTCCTCCTCCTCCTCCTCCTCCTCCTCCTCGTCCTCTCCTCCTCCTCCTCCTCCTCCTCTTCTTTCTCCTCCTCCTCCACATCATCATCAGAGCCTCGCTCTCAAGCGTTCGGCGGAGTGCCCAGACGCCAGGTTCCTCCTCCTACCCTCCTCCTCCTCCTCCTCCTCCTCCTTGTCCCCCCCCCTCCTCCCCCCCCTCCTCCTCCCCTCCTCATCCTCTTTCTCCTCCTCCTCCTCTTTCTCATCCTCCTCCTCCTCCTCCTCCTCCTCCTCCTCCCCCTCCTCTTCCCCCCCTCCACCTCCACCGTGGCGCCTTGGCAACCTTGTCCATCGCATCCTGCTCCTCAGGAAAGGCGCGCCTACTCATGACGTCCCGGGCGCTGTCCGCGGACTCATCGTTGCGCACGCGGTTGGCCAGGGAGGCGATCCACTCGGGGTTCGGCATCAACGTGATGACCTTGATAGCGCAGTCCGTGCCGTCGGGGCCCTTTGTCACGATATCGTAGCTGCTCTCGTCGTCGACGACCATCGTGGGCAAGCAGTCCTCGCCCGTCACCACCTTCATGGACCAACCAATGTCTTGATTCGGGCTCAGCGGCGTCACGACCAAGTTGTAGCCGCCGAGCGCCTTCCCGACGTAGAACTTACTAAGCCCCGCAGAAGTTCCAGCAGGGATGGCGGTGACGCGGCCACGCATCAACAGACGGCATGACGGGAGCTTAGCCAAGATAGTCGGATCTGCTTCGAGTTCGGCCTTCGATGGCCCAAGAAACTTCACAGGCCTTGCAACCTGTCCGTTGTTGTTCGCGTCGGCCTTGAAAGACATCCACTCGACGTTGGTCTCCCTGTGGGCCTTGATGTCGTCGATCATGCTCAGGGTCGCGTTCATTGCGAACGCCACAGTACCAAGAGCCTTCAGACCGCTCGCAGACGGAGCCGCAGAGGGAAAATAGTATTCGCCAATGGTCAGCTTCTCATCTTCCTCTGCCAGTGCCCTCTCGATGACGTCCACGCCCGAAGTAAACTCACCAGCAAGGCGCTCCCACCAGTCGTCAACGTTTGGCCCAGACTGCTGCAACGATTCATCTGCAGCTGCAATCGTCGCCTTCTTGTCAGAAATGAGCTTGACCAGCTCCGCCTTCTTGATGCTACTCTCGAAGGCTATGCTGAAATGGGAGGCCAACCCCTTCAGATCTTTAGCCGTCATTGATTCCAAGTCCACGCCGCAATGCTGAGACGGCTTCTCCCTCTGTGCAGCGAACTCCTCCTTCGGAGCCTCCTCGTTGGCCTTTTTCATCAGCCTCGCCCACAAGCTTTTCCAACTGGAGTCGTCTGCCAACCGAAAATCAGATACCGCAACTTTCTCTGTGTTTGCACGGACGAAAGAGAGGCCTTTCTTCAAATACGCCACAGTGTTCTCCAACGCAGAGGGCTTGCCCTGCTTCTTCTGGATCATGTCCTGCATCGCACTGCACGATTCGTCGATCAGTGACATCACGAAACGTGACCGAAAGTTCAAGTAGACGACGGCGTCGGCGCAACTCTTGAAATACTTCAGGGGCTGGCAAAACACTGGATGGACGTCGGCCAAGGCAGATAGATCCTCGAAGTTGTCAGCTTTCGGCAATTCCACAAACTTGCTCAGTACCTTACACACCGCCGATGGCTGCAGTCCCTCTACGGCAAGCCAGACTTGGTTCAACACTTCACTGACGCAGGCGTCGACATCGGCTGCAGGTTCCAATGCCTCTGCCATCGCTGGCGACCAAATGTGAGACTTGCTGGCCCATGCGCCCTTGCTCGCCGACACGACGCGGGCGACGGCGATGGAAGAGTCCTTCCCCAGCACTTTGGATAAGTCCCCAGCCTCGTCCCACGTCGAAATATCGACGGGATCCTTCTCCAAGTAGTCGCGCAAAGTTACCACCATCCCCTCGTGGAAGGCCTCAGGGACAGGGCCCATGACCGCAATAGTAGAAGACGCATCATCAATGCCCTGCTCGCCAGCCGACCCCGTATCCTTGAATTTCTCGAAATGCAAGTTGACGCCGTCGTTGTATTCGTGCTGGGCAATGACGAACCGCGCGAGGGCCTTCCTGAACTTGGTCCAGCCTTTGACCTAGGTGATGGGCCACAGAAGACGAACGCCGAGGGCCTGAGGCCGCCGCAGGATCGTCTTGGGGGGGCAAGAAGGTCCTTGAATCCAGGCCATCTCTCGGGCCGCCCTTCGGTCCTTTTCGGGCCCGCACGAGCGCCCAAAGCTGCAAGGCTCCAAAGGCCGCGAAGGATGTACCAAGAGGATGTACCAGGAGGTACCAGAGGATGCTCGAAGAGGCTAGGGCCCGACAACCTAAGACAGAAAGCAACGTCCGCCGCGACGCTCCCTGGCAGCAGCCTGGGATCGCAATGGCGGCTCGGGCCTCCCTGGGCCCCCAAGGCGGTGATATGACGACCCGTGACGGCCTGAGGACAATCGTGGAATTGCGGCGATGGGCTCCAAAGGAGCCTCAAGAACGCCCAAGGGTGGTTCCTTGAGGGCCCAGGCCCTCCTGGGGCCTTCTCGCCGCCCTTCTGTTTTTTCTCATGGCAAGGGAACGCTGGAACGCCAAATCGGGCTGGCACGGCCCCTTCCCGCGAGCAGACCTGCACGTCGCCTTCATTGCGAATCGGGAGCGTGCATTCGTGTTGCACGATCTGCATGATCACGTAGCACTTCGCGTCCTCCACGACCTGAGGGACGCGCAGATGGATAAAAAAAACTCCTACTCCTCCTCTCCTCTCCTTCTCTCCCCACGCATTCCAACCTCTCCCTCCTCCACCTCCTCCTCCTTCTCCTCCTCCTTCTCCTCCGCCTCCTCCTCCGCCTACCGCCCGGGGTCGCTCAAGGCGGCTAGAAAAACGAGGTTTCGTACCGCACTTGTTTGGAATACTTGAAGATCGATGGGTTCGTCACATAATCTTTTTCGGCGTTTCCCAATGGGAGGAGGAGGGAGGAGGAGGGAGGGGGAGAGGAGGAGGAGCAGACGGAGGAGAGGAGGTGGAGGAGGAGGAGGAGGACTAAAGGGAGAAGGAGGGGGAGGAGGAGGAGAGAAGAGGACAAGGGGGAGGTTGGGCGGACAGCCTTGAATCAGCAGCAGCAGCAGCAGGTGACCTCAGCGAGAACACTCTTTGCGTCCTTGGTGACCATCGCGATCACGTTGAGGGCGTCGCCCCAGAAAGTTGTCTTGCTGGCAGCGGGCGGCAGCGGCATAGCGGCCACAGCCTTGTCCCCAACCTTGCCCATGGCCTTCGCTTTGGCGGCTCCCTTCTTTGTCTTTCCACTTGCCTTAGCCTTGGCCACTGCCTCGGCGCACTTCGACATCCTGACGTCAACGAAGCCTGAGAACAGCTTGACAGCCGTGTTCCGCACAGAGAAGCACACCTGGGGCACTCCGTCGTTGGTCGGCGCGCAAAGACGCAATGCAGGCACCAAGAACTCTGTCATGATGTCAGGCCTTTCTGCTTCTGCTGCGAACGCGTTCAAAACGGCCGCCTGACAATGGATAACGTTTCCTTGATCGAAGGTCTCAGTGAACTTGACGTGGGCCTCCATGTAGTCCGCGAACGGCTCCCACTGCTTGAGTTCAACCATCTTCGCCTTGAACGCGCGAGCCGCCTTAAACACAGTCATGTGCGTGAAGGTGTTTGGAAAGGCCTTCTTCATCCAGTTAAGGTATTCGGTCTCGTAGCCAGCCTGACTCCGAAGTTTCTTGGAAGCAGGCTGCTCGCCGCCAGCATTGTCAGCGGCGTCATCGGCTTTGCGTTTGCTGCTGTCCGCGCCCGCTGGCTTCTGATCCGCGGCATCTGGTTCGCCGCCCTCACCGCCCGCAAGCGCCCCCTCGAAAGTGGCGGCGGCGGCGGCCAATTTGCGTTGCTGCTGGTGTTGCTGCTGCTGCTGCGTCTCGCGCTTCAGGTGGTTGGTGTAGCCTTTCCCAATGTCCTCAACGCGCCGATACATCTGCAAGAAGGAAGTCCTCGACGCGAAACCGTTGAGCTCGTTGCTGATGTCGACGAAGTACTTGAGGCCGTCCGAAGGGGTTCGGGCATCGACGCGCGTGCAGTCAGGCACGCCTTCGACAAGGCTCGCGTGCAACTGCGGAGCATTCGGATGCTGTTTCAGAGCGATGTAGAACGCCTCTATCAGGTGGGCGCCGCCGAGAATAAGCTTCTTGTTGCAGACGACTCCGCTCTTCGTCTTGTACTCCTGGAAACGGACCCCCCCACCACACACAAAAGACACATTTAGCAACGAATGAGGGGCGGGCATCATTCTGGATGGGGGAAGGTCGGCACTGGCGTCTGTTGAACAGTATGCTCATCGTCGGCCCGAAGCGGAACATACTTGGAGCGGACCGCGGACCCCGACGCGGGCGAACCGAACCAGAAAAAAACTCTTGGTCCTCCTCGGGGCGTGAGGGCCCAGGAAGGAAAAGAGGGCGAGTGGGAGGGATGAGGTATGGCATAGGGGCGAGGAAGTGAGGAGGCGAGGAGAGGGTGGGGAGGAAGTATGGGGAGATAGACGGCGAGGTCGGCATTGGGGGGTGAATTTGCATCCCAGCAATCCGTGCCCTCAATGAAGGTGACTTCGCCCCTCGCGCCGATAATCCAGCCCTTGTCAACGAGCTTGGCGACGTACTCCTCCCTGGTGTGACTCTGGTCACGGTCGTTGAGCGGGTGGCGCTCCCACATCTCCCCGCCGTCGGGATCGAAGAATGGGAGTTTCTCGTGCTCCTGGCCAAGACATTCGTCGCCGTTCGACATCGTCACTGTCGCCCTCGACGTCGTCGAAGACGAGGGCCCTGGTTAGGCAATCCTCATCCGAGTCCGCGTTGTCCCCGGACCTCTCTTGGCGCGCGTTCTGACTAGAATTTCGAAGCGAATCCAGCGGTGACAAGGAGGAACCCCCAGGAGGACCAAGAAAGGCCGAAAACGAAAGTCCTCCTCCTTCTCCCGTCCTTTTCACGAGCCTCCGCCCTCAATCCTCATTTGCCTCCCGGCCGTTCTTGCTCCGACCGCGCCGCCTCCTCTCCTCTCCAACCCCGCGTTAGGTTCAACGCTGTCCTTCACCACGTAGCAGGCGCGAGCCTTGTTCTGCAGGACGCGCCCGGTCAAGGGGAACCACCGCTCCTCTGGGCACGCAGAGTGAAGACAGGAGGGAGATGGACGCCTACGAGAATGCCTGAGGGATGTTTCTAGGGCCTTCCGTAAAGGACGAGGGCCGCCATCTTGACAGCAGGGGGGCCCTTTCGGTGCCTCTCGTGGGACCCTGTCCGATCCCCTCTTGGGCTCTTCTTGGGGTCTTCTTTGGACCCAGGAGGGCTCGTGGGCCCCCTCTTGAGCTCTTCTTGGTGCCCATGAGGGTTTTGAAAAAGCCAGGATGAGCCCCTGGGCTATCAAACTTCAGAGGCGACGGTCTTTCGATTGTTTCCTAAAGTTGATAGGGGCGCGGCGTTCGTAGGATTCTTGCCACAGAGGCCCCCTAGGCACAGAGAGCGCCCAAACAGAACCTGCGAGAGCACCCTGGCCACCCGAAACGGCGCAGGGGGTCAGGAGGAGAGGGGGGAGGAGGAGAGTAGGAGGAGAGGAGGAGAGGAGGAGGAGGGGGGGGACGAGGAGGAGGAGGAGGAGGAGAGGAGGAGGAGGAGGAGAGGAGGAGGAGGAGGAGGAGGAGGAGGAGGAGGAGGAGGAGAGCTCCAGCCCCAGGCATCTCCTCGAGCGAAGCATAGTTACGATCCTCGTACGGATTGCCATCAACTGCAGGCACGAAGGTGTCGCCCATCCACTCCGGAGCTTTCGCTGCAGCCATGGCGCTCGGCGACAAGATGCGCGGTGGCAGGGAGTCTTCTTGGGCAGTCTTGGACGGTCGGCGAGCGACCAGAGCTTGAGCCTCAAAGCTTTGATCCCAAAGTTTGGGAAGCGGCTGCGACCGCGGCATCGATGGCAGGAGGCAGGGGCCAGAGGACGGTTGGATCTCAGTTGCGACGCGCCAGAGGCCCCCTTAGAGGCCAGGGCAAGAACGTCGCGCAGATTTCCGAGCTTAGTCCAGCGAGGCGACCAAGGAGGGCGGTTGGGCCTCCTGCTCTGTGACAATGATGGTTACGACCGTGGTGTGATTTACCCAGTTGCAACGCGCCGCGGGCGCCTAGAGCCCCCGACTTTGGGCCGCTCGCCCAGAAGACGCCCAAGAGATTTCAGAGAGTTCTGGAAGTCCCCCGGGGCGTTGGCCTGTGGAACCAGAGACGAAAGAGAGCGGCATTGTATGGTGGCGACGAAGACTGTGGCGTCGGCCCTCCCTCCCCCTCCCATCTGGCTCGTCCTATCCCTCGCTTCCTCCATCATTCTCCTATTCCATCATGATATCACAGTGCCAGTGCTCGAGCGTGCGTGCATTGCCGTAGCGATTCGCCTGTGCGTGCGAATAAGCAAACTACTCGCCACTAGTGCGTCTTCCCACGCACGCGGCGCCTCTTCTGGGGCCCCGTCGAAGGGGACGTCGACCCCGAATTTACTCGAGTCAAAATACGCCGAAACCTGTCTGCCGCTGCAGAGGAGGGAGGAGCGGAGTCCGGGGTGGACGAGACACCAGTCTGAGCTGCTGGCGCTTGCAGACGCTCACCTAGATTCTGCATTCTCAGAACAATTACTGTTGAAATTGCGCCAATCATGTTGACGTGGATGCTATTTCCCACCTGCGAGCGTTGGCATGCAGGGCTTCGGACAGAGGGAGCTTGCTGCCCGCGAGAGAAAGAACAAACTGCACCGCAGCAAGCACGCTGCGCCTCGAAAGAGATTGGGAACCCCATGCTAGTAAATAACTCCTCTGGAAGCATCCACCTGGGGCTAGTGTTTCCAAGAGGATTGTAGGGCGGGGCTGGGAGTACGACAAGTCCGCCGCTTTTGCACAAGGTCTGCAGCGACCCGTCAGCCAATGATTTACTTCCACCCATTGCCATGGGGTTCTGACTCACGTTGCAAGCGCTGCGAGGCCACTTCTTTCGGTATGACTCATAAACTGTCCTCTCTTCTTTGCTGGGGCACCCGAGGCCGACGCCGTAAACATCGGATGGGAAATCCTTGTCCACGGGGCTCTTAGGAAACACTCCGTCCTCTGGTGTCCAGCGTGACAAGACAGACTCACGATTCTTGGCCCATCTCGTCTCGCGCTCGACCTCTTCGTCCGTGGCTATCAGGTAGTTCGACCACGTGAACAGCGGCGAACGCGAACGAAAAAACATGCCCTTCAAGGTATGCTCCATGTCGAGGACGTCATTCATCTCCTCAGAAGCACGTTCAGGAACCACCGCGCCAGCACCAATGTAATCTTTCAGGATCATAATGACGAATTGCCTAGACCGCTGGCTTGGCCAGCCGAATTGCGCAGGTGTCAATTCAATTCTGAAGACGTAATATAAGTCTCCGAACAAGGTGGTGAGTTCTTCGTCTCCGAACTCGGGCACGTTCTCGTGAAGAACAACCGTATGAAGTAGCTGTCTCGTAAGTGCAACCCATGTGTAGAATAAGAAATGACTGTTCCCAAATTCTCTGAGTTGGTTACCAAACCTGCTGTGAAGGACGCAGGGAGATCCAGCCCGGTGAATATGCGTGCGCGAGAGCGCGCAATAGCTTCCATTGCATTTGAAGCACTTGGCCCGAAGCAGCAGCTTCGCGCATGGTAGCTCAGCTCTCAGTTGCGCAGGTGACCACTTGTCAGCTGCTGAATGCAGCCCACATCGGCTCTTCCACACGGCTGGCAGGAAGTCTGTAATGTCACCGAATATGTGTTCAGCAAGGCTGCCATGCATGATCTCTGCCCTGCACGTGCTACTCTTCTCAATGGCCCATTTAGAAACGAAGCGCACTGGTGGCGTCGAGAAACCAGAGGTGTTCTCACAGAAGTTGCGGCTACATGATTCAATGATTCGGTCACCAATTTCTGCTGCTCCTACGCCGAAGAACGCTCCAGAGGTATCAAGCCTGCGTCCAGACAGCAAGCGTGCAATGTCATACCTATCTGCGTTGATTTTAGCGACACCCTGTTGGAACCATCTGAATGCACTATCCAGATCAGCAACGTTATCAACACCAGGCTTGAAGCACAGCGGCCGAGATAGGCTCATCGTGAATGATGCGCAACTCAATCAGCAGGCGTTGGTGATATACTGTTGTACCTGCTAAGCATTATGCTGAAATGGCTGTGGACAAATGACTACTGACAAAAACCATTCTCTACACAGCACCAACAGATGAGGAGTGTGTGACGTTCCTCAGCATACCGTTTGTGAAGGGATCTATTCCAATACATGTGAGACACAGTGGATGATGTCGGGATCATGCCCACGCGCATGTGATCGCGTGGACCCCCTCCACGCGCCCGAGAGCGTTGGGACCACCTCCACACATATGATAGCGTTGGGACACCCTCCACACACATGAGCAATCCCTCTACACACATGAGTGATGTTGGGACCCCCTCCACACACGTGGTGGTGTGTGGAGACCCCTTCCACGTGCGCCGGGGTGTGTGGATCCCCTCCACACGCATGGGGAGTGCATAGACCCCCTCCATACACATGAGGACATGGGGACCCCCTCCACACATATGAGGATGTGGGGACCCACTCCATGCAGATGAGGGTGTGGGGATCCCCTCCACACACATGAGGACGTGGGGACCCCCTCCACACACGTGGGGTGAGTGGGGACACCCTCCACACACATGAGGGCGTGGGGATCCCCTCCACACACATGGGGTGAGTGGGGACCCCCTCCACACACATGAGGGTGTGGGGACCCTCTCCACACACATGAGTGTGTGGGGACCCCCTCCACACACATGGGGTGAGTGGGGACCCCCTCCACACACATGAGGGCGTGGGGACCCCCTCCACACACAGAGGGTTGTGGGGACCCCCTCCACACACATGGGGAGTGTGGGGACCCCCTCCACACACATGCAGAGTGTGGGGATCCCCTCCACACACATGGGGGTGTGGGGATCCCCTCCACACACATAGTATGCGTGGGGACCCCCTCCACACACATGAGGGTGTGGGGACCCCCTCCACACACATAGTGTGCGTGTGGACCCCCTTCCACACACATGTGGAGTGTGTGGACCCCCTCCACACACGTGAGGCTGCGGGGACCCCCTCCACACATATGAGAGCGTTGGGAGACCCTCCACACACATAGGGTTGTGGTGAC